ATGTCTTCTTCTGTGGTGTGTTTTTGGTTCAGGACAACCACAAGCTGAGCTACATCCAGCAGCTGCGGCCCACTCAGACGGTCCAGCCCCGGATCAAACTCAAGCTCTTCGGACACTCGGGAGCCGGGAAGAGCACGCTGCTGGAGTCTCTGAAGTGCGGCATCCTGCGCAGCTTCTTCAGGAGGAGGAGGACGCGCATGACAAACGCGGCCCGGCACCCCAACTCGCCCGTCAACTCCAAACCTCCCGGTAGGTGACAGACAGGTGGAGTCGCGTCGTCAGCAGCTCAGCATTAATGCTTTCACTGCCGCAGCGGTTAGCACCGCCCCCTCACAGCAAGAAGATCCTGAGTTTGTGCAGGTACAGACAGGTGTGTGTCACCTGGTGACAGCTCTGAAAGGCTCCACCCCCTCCAATCACCCTTCGGCTACACATGCCAATGTTGTTTGGGAAAAGCAAAGAAAGGCACACAGAGACTCCTTCGTTTATTTGGAGGAGTGCAGTTAATCCCTCGCACATCTGTCTCAGAAAACTTCAGCGTGAGTCATTTTATTAAATGTCTCGTTTTATCCACGTTGTAGCTGTTGTTGCTCTGATGTGAACATGAGCCCTCACAGTCTCGTACTGAGATGCAGTTTGAATCTCACAGGGTGAAATTGATAATAATCCTCTGGAGTAAATGATAGATGAGCACAAATGGAACCACTGTCTGCTGAGGGAAACAGTTCAGGTGCTGCTCTGAGGCTCGGAGATCTTGAGGTCTGTGAGGTGTTCGTGGTTTTCAGGAAAGTGCAGTGACGACGTGTTCAGTGTCTGCCTGCCTGCCCTCCTCTCCCCTTTAGCTGCTCTGTTATGCGCCGCTTGCAGCCATTACGTGACGCCCGGGCTGATAACGGTCAGGTGCGTGAGCCGACTCCTCCATCTGTGAGCCTGCCGGCGTCTCAAAGAGTCAGCGCCGGTCCGTATCGACCGTTTGTTGTTTCTGCAGCAATACGTGACGTGAATCCAGCCAAAGACAAAGAAACACAAGTGTCGATATTTTAGCGTCGCCTCCCGAGACCGCTGAACGCTGCATATTGATTTTGTGGCTTTCAGCCTCGGCGTGCGCTGATATATTCTTTTATTTCCTTATTTGTAGCGAACTTTGAAATGTCGCGGAGCTCCATTAACGAGAGGCCTCGTCGTGAAAGGTGCTCCTCGGTAAAAGCGGCGCTCTTTTTAGACCTGTTAGCGAGAGAAGACATGAGCAGCTTCGCTTCACTGAACTCTGAACCGCCCGACGTTAAACGGCATGAAAACAGTTTTTCTCTCCACGTCGAGAAAATGAGCGGAACCTGTTGGCTTTAAGGATTTCACTCATTTTACACCGATCACAAAAACCAGGACGTGAGAACATTTTCCTCACGTTTAGGATGAGAGAAGATGAGATGGGTTCATTGTTTTCTGCAGTTGCCAGTTGGTGGAGGATAAAGTCTTCATCATCATCGTCGTCTGCAGTGCCGAGCAGACGCTTGCATGTTCAAACTGAAGCCGTGACAGCCGACTGTGAAACGGCGGAGGCAGCTTTTATGTTAGTGCAGAGAGGAAAACG